TACTCCTATGCATACACACACATTCATATATATAAACGTTCAGAGGCATTCTCACACACATATATTCACCACGCACACACCAACACACAGCTGAACAAACATATGCACATGCACACGCACAACTAGATATACTCAGACGCATATATAGACTCGCGATTGCACTCGTATACATACACAACTGCATAGATATATGCCATAAAATGGCCGGTTACTCGTTTTTTGAGCACATCCTGAGCTAACATTCCCTGTTGCAGACATCTGCTCAGTCACACTTGCTCAACACTCTCCAAGCCGATCTGGCGTTTGTACTACGGTGGGCTGAAACGTTGATAGGCTGACTATGAAGGAGTGATGCTGGAGCCGTGAAATATTGTATGCATTAATTTCAACTTATCAATTAACTGAATTGTTTATTTACAGTTATACTAATCTCTGAGTGTTCGAAGACTTCAAATGTAACTAGTATCAAGTTCTCTTTAAAATGAACAAAATTTGGCATCGTTGTATTATCCAGTACCTGCAGAAAAATGGTTTAGCCCCCAAGGACATTCATGCTGACATGACTTTTACATTAGGGGATGACGCTCCAGCAAAATGCAAAAGTGGACATCTGAATTTAGGAGGGAAGAGCCTTGAAGATAAGCCAAGGTCTGGACGTCCTGCAACCGCCATTACCGTGGAAAACATTCTTCGTTTTCGACACATAGAATTTTCTTTGAGGCGCGTGGGGGGGGTACATAGAATTTTCTTTGAGGCGGGGGGGATATAGCATTTTTCTTTGAGGGGCGGGGGGACATAGAATTTTCTTTGAGGCGGGGGGGGGACATAGAATTTTCTTTGAGGCGGTGGGGGGGACATAGAATTTTCTTTGAGGCTCAGGGGGGACATAGAATTTTCTTTGAGGCGCGTGGGGGGACATAGAATTTTCTTTGAGGCGGGGGGGGACATAGAATTTACTTTGAGGCGCGGGGGGACATAGAATTTTCTTTGAGGCGCGGGGGGGCGACATAGAATTTTCTTTGAGGCGGGGGGACATAGAATTTTCTTTGAGGCGCGGGGGGGGACATAGAATTTTCTTTGAGGCGCGGGGGAATTAAACGTTTTATTATTTGACATGCAAAATACTCTCACTATTTTAAAAACAATTTAATGCTTAAAATAACAAAAATGCAATATTGATTTTTGCATATCTTTTCTTTAGGTTTTTATATTTCATCGATTGGTCTGCGAAATTGAACGAAACGTAGAATTTTTAAATCTAAACAAAAATGTTAGAGATAACTTCAACAATACTAAATACTAAAAAAGTTCTAGTCCATGAAAGCTAACCAATAAAACGTCATTCAAATATTTCACGAAGCAACATTCTTTATTTTTTATTTATTTTACAATAATGTTTCCCCTGTACAAGACACAAGAGCCACTCGAGGCAGAGAATTACAGAGTAAGTGGCAAAGTTTATGGTGATATATGGGGAAGATAACATACTTAAGTAGGTTAAAATTGTAGAGACTATTCAGTTTTTACTCCACAACAGACTATTTTTTTTTTACATCGCTTTGTAGTGATGGTATGCTTTCTTTATTGTCATTATTAAGTTTTGACAGTATTTTTTCCTTTCAATTTGATAAGGATAATTCTTTTAGAAATGTTAACATCCACGTCAAATATTTAGAATTTGAATGTCTGCCATTTGGGCTGAGATTTCGTCACTTTTTCTTTTTAAACTCATTTGCATTCATTATTTTCTTTGAAGGATTTTAAAGCCAGTTTTATGCAATTAAATATTGAGCGGGTAGCCGTTTCTAGCAAACGGACATTTTTTACGAAAGCATTCTGTTGAAAACAACATCTCGGTCAACATAACAACTTACGTTACATTCGCTTCATCCACATTTCGCTAGTTTTACAAGAACAACACCAGCTAAAGACTAATATGTGTTTGTTCTAAATCTGAAATGATTTTGACACTTAAACTAATCGTAAATTTTCCCAAGCAGAAATTTGACCCTTTTTAATTTAACACAAATTAAAGATGTCTGTCCAACTTGCCATGGGCTATGAAATCTCAGACTTCCGGGCAATGTTTATATTACTCTGATGAAGCAAAACAGGAAGTTCTAATTTCAAATCGTAATTTTCATTCTACTGACTGAATGATAACAAACCTCACTTATTCTACTGACTCACAAGTGTCCATGAAATATAAGAAATGTTAATCTTTAGCTGCTACTCAACCACTAAGATATGAATCTTGTTTTTAAAAAAAGATATTCAAAATGTAAAACATTTCTTTACATTTTCTATAGTAACTGGCAAACGAAATTTAAATGTCTGACGATTATTTTAACAATGTTGTCCTTGTTCAAAGTAGCTGAATATTAGGAAACTCGTAGTTAGAAAGTATCGAAGGCAGAAGTCTAGGTAAGGAAACAAAGAAGAAGGGGATTATTAAATACTCATACATAGAACGAAAAAACTTGAGTACATCAAATACTACTCAAATGATCCTCTAATTTGGTTATATTTATAAGTAGGAGCAGTCCATTGTAACAGTAGGCAAGAGCAGGAAGTAGCATCCTACTCTAAAACAGTTTTACACAAGTATCACATCAGAGCAAAAGAGTAGCCAGGTGCATCAGTGGGTTGACCTAGATTGTAACCTAATGACCGCCAGGTGCAGAATCGTACCTCACTAGATATCACTGGCTGCTTCTGACATGTAAACAGGTGGTTGATACAGATGAGCTTAGGATGTGCACACATGAGACAAGCAAATGACAGGAAGTTAAATAAGCACCCCCCACCTGAGAGGGGAAAATACAGTCTCTCCTATCCCGACAAGAATGTCTCTTATTCAAAAAAAATCCAAGAAAGTCAACATAGAATAGGCTGTACCAGAACTAGTTTTACTCTCTAGACTAGACCAACGTTTTTTTCTGACTTTCAATTGCAACCTGCGTTGGTTAAGAATTTGGGAAACATTCTTTCTTGGAACTTTAGAACTGCAAGACTATTTAACATCAAACAAAAGGGACTGTTGGATTATCTCACTAAACCCACTCTTCTAGAAGGGGTTAAGGGTTACCGTTGTAATGTTGTCTTTGTTCAAAATAACCGTGAATTAAGAAGGTCGTAGTTAGTTAGTGTATCGAAGGAATAAAAAAAACTAGGTAGAGGAAACAAAGAAGAGGTTTATTAAACAATCATACATAGAAATGAAATACTTGAGTAAATCAGATACTACTCAAATCCTACTCTAATATGGCTACTTGCCATATCTATAAGTAGGAGTATTCCATAGTCACAGTAGTAGTGAGAGAAGGAAGTACGCTGAGTCCTATTCTACAACACAATATGACACCGAAATCCGAAGGCGCATTGAAATAGCGAAAGATGCCTTCAAATAGCTAAACAAAGTGTTAAGAAACTGGAAAAATTCTTTAGAAACAAAGAAAAGTGTGTTGAACCGGAATGTAATATAACTCCTCCTATATGACAGTGATGCTGGATATTTTTCTCACGGATGAAGAGAAGACTTAGGGCAACAGAGATGTCTTTCTACAGAAGGATTCTGAGAATACCTTAGACGGAAGATGTAAACAACAAGGAAGTTTTAATAAAGATGTGGAAAAATGAAAGAAATGTCTTAGTGACGATAACAGTGACAGAGGAAACAACAAGTAACATATCTAAAAGCCGAACAAGAAAAAAGTTACATATATTACCAATTATCAATATAAAAGGATAGGAAGTTGTAGAGAGACGCGTCCAGAAGAGACATGGCGCATAAAAATAGAGGCAAGTTCAAAATCTGACTGGAGTAGTTTCTGTTCAATAATACTTTGCGCTAAATAATTGTGTAGGCTGAGCTCTATAGCCTTGGTTTGTAACTGGTATAAAAGAACAAATCTGAACTCAAAATTGTGGAGAATGCAACAGGAAACCAATCCACTATCTTTCCGAAGAATAGAAAGAGGGCTTGGTGAATTAGACACTCACGCGACATATTGAAGGTAAGGACAGGAGAAACGGTGATAAACTACCTAACAAGCTTGTGAAAAGAGACTTGGGGATATTAAAAATGACAAATATTGCTTAGCGCTACAAAGGATCGGAAATTGTGGAGAGTCATGATCGCCCACATCCTGAAGGAACTTGGCACAAAAAATAACATATTTTGTCCTAATTCATCTTCGTAAATTTGAGAACGAAATTTAGATGTGGCTGTCATAAAAATCAGTTATATACTTTTGATCTCTCTCTCTCTCTCTCTCTCTCTCTCTCTCTCTCTCTCTAATGTCTCGACATTTGAAGCTACAATATCCTTATTTTATTGATTCTGCTGTCAACGTAGCAAGAAATTAGTGTAATTAAATCGAAATATCAATGGAGCTAACAGCATTTCAAAAGGCTGAGTTCATAGCAACCATCACGGTGATTTTTCTTTTTCAGTAATCTTTTGCCGCCCTAAGAGTGAAGATAGGTAAATAAAAAGTAGCAAAGTTCAGTAAGAGAAATTTTTCACTTTTGAAAGTGCGTAGATAAATATTTGCTAATTGGTTCACAGAAGAGGGATTAGGAGAGATAGCGAATAGACAAAGCTTACTAAGAACCACAAAGAAGAGAAAGTTGTGGAGAGCCATAATTGTCCGCGTCCTGAAGAGACCCAGCACATAGAAGAAGAAGAAGAAATGTGAATAATATCTACATAACGTTTGGTTTTGATTGATTGCGTTTTCTACGGCTTATCCACACTTTAAAAGTTATTTAAAGCCAGAAAATATTTGTACATTGTGGGAATTCTTTTTTGGAGATAATAATAGTTGAGCGATACAAGTCCTACTAATTAACCCATAGCTGGAGGGAGTAGATGTGAATTCACACGTAAGGGTACTTGCGCGTAAGTGAATATTGCGAACCCAACGGGAATTGGGATTCGACTCGCCGATTAACAATTCCAAGCCATTATCCATTACACCACACACCCATCAAGCTTAGAGCACCTGGTATTCCCAAGCGGTCACCCATCTAAGTACCGGCCAAGCTAGACATTGCTTAACTTTGGTGACCGCACAAGAACTGGTGTTTCAACGTCATATGGCTGTAATCCTTACAAAGTATGTATAAAATATATTGGTATATGTTTGTATATGAAAAAATTACTACAAAAATATATACAGTTGATTATACGCGGTATTAACTCCATCCCCCCACCTGGACGAGATGCGATACAAGGTCTATTTTTAGGTGGGGACCCGAGCGCGAACGCCCGGGACAAGGACAAAAATTGCCCACAGCCCCCGCAACCGTCGGTTGCGCTGGCCTCGGTGTAAGCACCGATCACTCTCTCTGGTGCGATGGGAGGGCGCAGCCTTGGGCAGCTGTTCCCCAAATCTGGGCACCTCTCAGTATAATTTTCTCGGTTGCCCTTCTGTCCTTTGACAGAGAATCCCCTGAGCGCAATCTGTTCAAAGACAGAGACGCAACTGAGAGATGATAAGTATACACGTTAGAAACTCCTCCAATAAGGAATTTTTACGCTTAATTATACTGGGTTTGAATGCTTTTCAGAGGGTAGAAATGATTTTTGACCTAAAAAAATGTAGAAATGTGTTCATGTCTATTTTTACCCAGAATAAAAACAGTTGTAATCTGAATATTTTTTTCTTTTTTTTTTTATAAATTAAATCTATTAAAAAAAAAAAAAATAAAGTATCTCATGAACAATTCGATCGTCGATGTGTCACATTTGGTCTTTCATAGAATTTGGGGGTGGGGACAGTGTGCATATGCAGGTAGTGTAAGGGTCATCGGCGCGGAAAGTGGAATCAGAGAAACAAGTTCAAATACCAGCCGGGTCTGTAACATTCACTTGGGAAAGGTGTGCTGTCCATCTTCTTTTCCTTCTGGCTATGAATTAAATACACAAGGTTCTCTAGACTTGACTGGCAGAAAGTCTAGAAGAGAGACAACAAGAGACATTTCTACTATCTCAAAAGGTCCTGAAAATTCCCAGATAATAAGAGTTTTGATTCTCTCGGTGCTTTAGGGATATGGCATTTATAACAAAAAGGGTTACTTGGTGACGCCCAGAATAATAATACTTTCTCATTATTCTTTCCAACCATCTTTGATCTTAAAAGATTTAAATGCAATGTCGATCGTTATCTGCCATCTTCTTCATTACTGTTTTCTTGTTCTCGCTCCTTAATAATGTTACCCTTTTTTCTTATTCTTTCGCACTCAATAACTCTTTGTGTCTTAGTGGCTTTACTGTCTTTCATGGGGTGAAATGATTACAAAATATGTGTATAGTGGTTTGCATTGTGTGTATGTGCGTGCAATGGTTGGCAAATACATCTCGTAGACGAATTCGCTTGGATAGTGAGTTCGATTGTCACTAAGTCTATTGTAGTGCTGTGCTTGAGTAAGTTAGGTTTCATAATAGAAACTCATGCAGTACAATTGCGAACTCGTAATATATTCGCTAACCTACTGAAATCGGTCTTCCCTAGTTTCCCGTTTCGTGTGAGCTTACGCTAGACAAAGCTCAGTTTAATGAATATTTGAGCCGACCTTGAGATCCCAACTGGTCGTTAAAATTGAATATAGCCAAGATTCAGACTGATTTTCTCGGCTGACAGGCTTCTTTCACTTGGAAGATTGTCGCAACACACGCTTTTTACTTCCAATCCGGTATTATAGAAATGGAGGAAGCTATACCTGTGCAACTCATTGTGTACATATCAGCGTTAATTGCTTTTAGATATATTTACCTAGTTACTTTTGTATATTCGTTAGCGCATATGCTTATTTCGATTGCATGGGTGGAACCCTTATTGAGAGAAGTAACGAATATCAGAAAAATGTGCCAATTTATTTTTTTCATATGCTACGGGGACTAATGTGTAAGGTCTTCAAACATGTAAAACAGGTTTTCAACTTGACAGATTTGTGACACAATGGGGCCCGGCCGTGAATAGAACATACACAAAGTCAAGTGAATTTTAAATTATTTTTTGAGACAGAAGCGTCTGATGTTTTATGACCAACAAGAAAGTCTACATGTGAGAGCTTCAAAGTGGACATCCGCGATCAACAAATAAGTAGAAGAGAAGTGAAACAAATAAATAAAACTAAAATGAAAACTCTCCGGATTAAATGCCACTTGGCCGGAAAATGAGGAGTTCCGGTCGTGGGCTTATATAATCAAGCCGCATAATAGAACAGTTAGAAAGAAGCCGACTGTTAGAAAGTCATGAGTTAAGCAAAATTAGGGTTAAAGAAGGAAACCGGTTCCTAGAGGGTGAGGAGTAAGTAACAGTCGTGGTCGAGATGTAGAGACAATTGCAGTCTGAGATAAGCAAAGCGGCAGTCGGAGTTCTACTTAGCCATGTCACAGTGGACTAATATCTGTGATACACACATGCCTTACATGGTGATTGTGACAGTTGCGATTTTCTCAACAACATGAGAAATCGAGTTTTGAGTACAGATAAATGGTTAGCATATAGGGGAGCAGGTCCTCCCCACTTGGATAATCGGGGAGTAGTACAGTTCTATGCTGGCTTGATACACACACACACAAATATACTAACATACTAAGTCACGTAGCCGTCGTTATTAAAGTGAAACGAGAGCTTTAGGTTATTAGGCAACTCCATAATTTTTCGTACTTTACGTTATACATAGGTACATCAAAAAGTTCGTAGCCTAATGAGGAAAATTTCGATGGAGTTCTATATTTATTAACAAGCTTTTCCAAATGCATGATAGAACAGGAACTGGGACTAATGGTAAGAAAATAAGCATAAGTTAAAAGCAGAAAGAATAGAAAGTTGTGAAGAGCCATGATCATCTCCGTCCTGAAGAGAAATGATGCATAAAAGCACGTTCTCATTCAACTCAATAATATATGAGTCAGTATTTATGTTTATGTCTGATAGCAATGCAAGACGAAATTTGGATGTCGTTAAAAGCAGTGGTACGCCTTTGATATATATATATATATATATATATATATATATATATATATATATATATATATATATATATATATACATACAGTTCTGTTCAATAAAAGTGACTCACCTTATCCTTTGAATTTAGCTCAACTTTCGTTTCATCGGAGAAGAGAACATTCTTCCAGTCTTCTACGGTGAAATTTTTGTAATAGTGAGCCCATTCAAGCCTCTTGATTTTGTTGGCTTTGCTTCTTAGCGGCTTAAAGATTTGTAGCCTTGTTCTAACAGCTACCGACGGACTATTGAAGAGGCAAGAATAACACCTTGCTGTTTGCTTAGACTGGCTGCAATTTCTTGGCTAGTTATAGTCCTATTCTTCGCAACTTCTCTCTTGATTACTCTGCCAGTTCTATCATCAATCTTTTTCTTTTGTCCCCTTGTTTTCTTCCTTGGAGCAGGAGTGGCATTATTATGTGCCCTAAGCACTCGAGAGACAGTTGATTGCGAGGTTATAGCAATCTCTGCAATATCTCTCGTAGACTTGCCTGCTTTTGAGAGGGCAATAATAGATGCCTTAAGTGGTTCTGATGCATGTTTGTACCCTTTCATCTGTTACTAAACAGACTTGAGTGGCTATTTCAGGCTGTTTTATACTGTATGAGGCTTTCTGTAATATTCTGGAATACTCTAGATTTAATTTAAGCTGTTCAAGAATTCTCTAGAATATTGTTCTGAGTGTGTTGTAAAATAGTTTTCAATATTTTGTCAAAAGCTCTTTAAATTTACCAGTTTAATCATTAGAATGCGATATCTGAGTCACTTTTTTTGCACAGAGTTTTTTTTCCTGAATCTCATTTATATCCACATTTATAATTATCAATAGAATACCTTAGGGTGAATAAACTTTTTTCCTAGATGGTCGGGAAGGGGTCTTTATATTAGTAAGATTAAAAATTATTTTAACCCCAAAAACAATAGACAAAAAAATATATTTAGTAAAAAATCAGGTGAGTCACTTTTATCGAACAGCACTATATATATATATATATATATATATATATATATATATATATATATAATTTATTAAGTGAATATGAGGCCAGATAAAAAAATCTAAATCAAAACCCCACTTTTATTCTTATGATACGCACGCCTCCCTATCCTCCCTTATATTTAAGTTACATATTTGCTTTTCTTCTTCTTTATTGTATATATTTACAATACACTTGCATCCCCGTTATTTCTTTTCTTTTCTTTTCTTCAGCCTTCTTTTTTCTTTTTCTTTCTTCTTCATGCCCCCTTCCTTTCTATTACACTCAATGTCATGTTTTTCGATCGTCATGCGTCTGTAAATTTATTTTTGAAAAGTATTTATGTGGCGTTCTTTGTGTGTGTGTGTGTGTGTTTTTTTTTTTTTAAATAAATCTTTAAGGTGGTCATTTTTAAAAATATCGCCCGAAGAGACCGTCATGTCGAAACCAAGGTCGCGGATTTTAACTGATCTCCTGATTTTTAAAGTGTTATATATATATATATATATATATATATATATATATATATATATATATATATATATATATATATAGAGAGAGAGAGAGAGAGAGAGAGAGAGAGAGAGTTCACGCTATCCGTGATCTTCATATATATTCAGCAGCTTCATTTAACATTAAAGAAAAAATATAAAACCAGTCTCATCGTGATATTATTTTTCTTCTTAATTCTTACAAGAAACGTAATCAACTTTTTAAAGTTTTAAAAATATTTTTTAATACTTCGCCAAGGCTGCCAGAAATGATAGCATATATATTGCATATACTCGCGTCTTGTGCGACATTTGAAGACCTAATTTTGAAGCTAATTTTAAGGGGTCCGCATCACGAGATATAAAATTAGCATATAAGCTGCTGACTCTGGCTACGCCATTGACCAAACGATATATCCATTTACTGTAGTTTCAAAATTAGTTTCAAAATCCTTCTTCAAAGGTCGCATGATAGGCAAATGTATACGTTAAATATATTTTTGAAGTCTTATTGTAGTATCGTATGCAAATTAGATAGACAAGTATCAGTAGAGAACAAGTGGAGAACATAGGGAACAGCTATACCTAGCAAACCCGGTTGCTATTCATGACACGGAGA